TAGAATACTAGTAGACACTGACTGTAGAAAATCGGGAATGTGCTACTGCGAAAAGTTAGAACAGAATAAATATTTGTGTAAGTCTGTTGTAGTAGCTGTTAAAATGGACAACGACATGTCGTTACTTGAATATTTTAAGAACACATTATTTGGTCTTTTATTCTAAATATAACAATGATGAAACTTTGCTCCAAAATAGCTTTTCTATCCAACAAGCATCTTTCTAAGCAAATTAAATATCAAGATATTAGCAAATTTCTTGTCTGCTTGTCATATTAAAGCTTTCTCACCAAAGAATTTGAGGAAAATACACCTTTTGGTGTTTGATGCTTTGCGTTATATTTATACTTTGTTCACTCTATATTTTAAACTTATTGCTGCCTCTCAATTGGGCTGAGTCACTGTATTTAAAACCACTATAGGACCTCAATTCTTGTTGAAATGGGGTCAAAAAAGGCCATTTTCCAGTTAGTTTTGAGGATATAATTGAGAAACACAACTTCGATCTGGCATAAAGTAAGGCAGGAGACATTTTCCTCATAGTGTTTGTTACTTCTAGTAAAATTGTTCGTTTCCATCCACTGACTGAGGGAAATAACAGATGCCCCAACCGTGACAATATCTACACTCATGGCATTGAGATCCTTCAGAAGCGTTTCTCCCTGCGAAAAGCTTTTCTGATGAAGGGTCTAGGCCCGAAACGTCAGCCTTTCTGCTCCTATGATGCTGCTTGGCCTGCTGTGTTCATCCAGCTCTACACCTTGTTGTCCTGCATTAATGAATAACTCTTTATAATGGTAAATTAATTTACAGTCAATTGCGAGAAATGCATCAAGAAATTAAATCTGTAATTGACAGCACAAAAGCTAGCATATAGTAGTGTTTGTATTTTAAAGATGGATATTGTTTTGGTGCAGTTTCTTCTTTTGTAGTTTTCAATTAGGTTGTTGCATTTAACTCTCCAGATAGAAGGTAAAGTAACATTCAAAGTCCTTCAGATGCTTGAGGGCTTTCTAATTGCTGCTTTTGCAATAAATATTCAGGCCTCTGATTAAAATGCGCCCTAGCTGAAGTTTGTCACCTGATTAATTTGTTTTCAAATGCTTGTTTGATTACTAGCATGATTAATCATGTGCAGAGTAGGCAAAAAAAAATAGAAACGTACAAAATGGGAGTAGAAGTAGATCATACAGCCCTACATGCCTGCTATGTCATTCGGTAAGATTACAGGCTCAACAGATATTGCCTTAACTTTCTTGCAGGTCACCATAACCTTGGACTTTCCCATTGTTCAAGGCTGTCTATCTCAGCCATGAATATATCCAATGATTCTCTGAGTTAGTGGATTCAACAGATTCATAAACCTCTGAGAGAAGACATTCCCTATTTTCTCTGGCTTAGTAAGAGATCTCTTATTCTGAAACTATGTTCTTTAATTCTAGATTCTAAATGCAAGGAAACACCCACACAGCATCCACCCTCGGAATCTTGCATATTTCAAAAAGATCACCTCTGCTTCTTTTAATTACAATGAATGTTGTTCCAACCTACTGAACCTTACCTCATAAGTAAAAACCCTTCATCCCAGGAATCAATCTAGTGAACTGAGCCCAGTACAAGTATAACTTTTCTTTTAAAAAAGAGACCAAAACTGTACACAGATGTAGTCTTTCCAAAACCCTGTACAGTTCTATTAGATGTCCTTACTTTTATACACTATACCCTTTGCAAAAAAAAATCCAACAATCCTGGGGTAAGACATGGTAATGTCGCTGGAATAGTAACTCAGAACCCCAGACAAATGTCTTGGACCGTAGGTTTGAATGTTACCATGGCAGGTGGTGAATTTTGAATTAAATTAATTTGAAAGCTATACTAATGGAGACCATACAGCCAGTGGCCTGTGGTGGCGACTCCAGATCCACAACAATGAGTAGGCTCGTAAGGCAGTAATGCTGGCTGAACCCATGAAACCCACATCCCATGAATGAATGAAAACAAAAAAAAATCAATTTTCCTTTCTAATTACTAGCAGTACCAGCATGCTGACATCTTATATTTCATGTACAAGAACACCCAGATCTCTTGGTATTGGAATATCCTGTAATCTCTGCCCAGTTAACTAACACTTTATTTTGCTGTTCTTCCTACCAGAGTTAATAACCTCATATTTTCCCACAGTATAGTCCATCTGCTAATGTACTGCCCACTCACGTAAGCTGTCTATATCTCTTTTGGAGTCCTTCTGCCATCAAAACATTTGTCTACAATATCCTCAGTCACTTTTGTACTCAAGTGAATTTAAACGATGTTAGATAAAATACAACGTAAATCTTCCTGTTCCCTGCTCCAGCCACATTTTAACCATAGTGCCATATTGCACCACTATTTTAATTTTTCAATTCTGTACCAACTATCTTGTTGTCTATGCTGTCTTTCCTAGATGAGTGTCAATTTAAGCAGAAAACGTGCTTTTTCCATTGGGTATATTGAAATAGTAAATGTACTAATGCTTGCACTACCTGGCAAACAGAGCAAGTCTTCTTCCCCATGTACCAGTTCGTGACAAATTACAGTCATTTTTATGCTGTGAGTATGTGCTTATTAGAAATTATTATGAGACAGTCAAAACTCATTTTATATGATAGTCCAGTATTATAGTGGTAAATTTCCCAAATTAGAATCCAGAGGTTTGGACAAATAATCAGGAGAATGTGATTTCATAATCCTATTGTGGTAGTTTGAGAATTTGAATTCTGTATTTTTTTAAATAGTAAAATTAAAAAGCATGTATCAGTTAAAGGGACCGTGAAGATGATGCTATAAATAGAAAGTGCTGGAACTACTCAGCAGGTCTGACAGCATCAGTGGAGAGAGAAAAACAGTGTTAATGTTTTAAGTCCAATATGATTCTAAAAAATTCTGGTAATAATAGTCAGAGACAGCTGTATCCTGAAAAAAATACTTATGTTATGCCTCAACTGAGATTAGTGTGCTGAAAATCAAGCCCCACTATTCCCAGAGTCATCACAAAAATTAAAGGTTTTAAAAAGTGTGCAGCATTTTCCATTTTATTTGTTTTTTAGATCCAGTTTGACAGAGTGGACTACGTCTCTGTACTTAACAAGAATAAGTATTCATTAGAAATAAATTGATTCTAACTTCAAATAAATATTATGAATCATCAACATAAAGCTCTTTGAGTTAAAACCCCCTTAAAACCTCCCCCGCCTTAAAGCTACACAAACACAGACAGGAAAAAGCATGGGTGCTATGGATAGAGGGAAAGACTGGGAAGGCATTTCAGTGGTCCTTGTCCACAGGTTGCCCAAGATGATTCTTGTTGTGATTGGAATGCTGGTTCGCGATCTTCCTTTTCTCAGTACTTTCACTTGTTTGCATAAGGCACAGCGTTTCACAAAATAAAGGTATTTGACTTATCAATTAAAAGTCACACAACTCGAAGAAGGATTAAACTGGCTGTCTTCAGGCTTGAGGTACGTTTTCTACCCCGGAGCAGAAACAATTTCCTTTTCTCCAGACGTCCGATTGTTACTCACTGTCTTGTTCACACTCCTGGAACTATTCAGCTATCTGGGAGCCAGTCATATAGTTGCTGACTGGCAGAAGACTTTCATCATTGATAACTGGTCACTAGCCCACAGGCTAATCAGTTGTTTGTTGCTAGCCAAAGCTCCATTTGTAAACACCTCTTGGCTCTAGCTCATCTGCAAAGTAGACTTCCACTACTGCTTGAACAAATGTAACACTAAGCTGTATAAACACTATTTACAATGAGTGTCAGTTTCCTTGTGTTTGAAAAAGTGCAGAGATCCTTCAACAATCCTTGTTCTTTAAAGCAGTTGTCTTCAATATCTCAGTCCACGATCATAATATGAAACAGTCTTTTCAGTTAATTGAAGGAATTAAAATAAAACAGAATTAAGTTCCATTGGTTTGGGTACAATTTGAATGCTGGTCTACAAGTGACAGGATAATGTCCTTATACATTGTTTCATCTAGTACCTAGCCAGCTGTATTTAACCAAACATTTATAATGTAGTCTCCTGAAACAAGAAGCTCTTAATTGGAGCAGTTAACCAGATCATCCCATCCTATGCAGTGGTTGGTGACAAAGTTTCTATCCATTAATTTACTCCCTTGGTATCAGAAATTTAAATGATGAAGAAAAATTAAGTAAGTTAGGCTTATTATCCTCAGAAAAGAAGAAGTCACCAAGGTAGTCAAAATGAAATTTTGTAAAAGGAATTAACAATTGTGATCAGACAAACTGATCATTATGGCAAAGAATCCAAATTCCTATAAACCCATTGAAGTAAGAAAGTTGTGTGTGAAAAGGAAATGTTACTTTTTCACAAAGGGAAATAGAATTTAAAGGATGTGCTAGTGAAGGAAACAGTGTAACTAGCCTCAAGATGCAAACAGATTGTCATTTATCGTAGACAGAGTTTATAATACATCATTATAATACAATGTAGTAGACCAAGTAACATCGTTCAGCACCTTGCTGCAAATCTGAGTGACTGCAAAGAAATTTCTTTTTTGTGCCTAGATGTATGCATAGATCAGTGAGCACTCCATTTCAAATATTATCAAGCAGTGAGTAGGACTCTTCCAGAAATAAAACTGTCCCAAAATATCTTTAGAAAACTCCCAAGATGTTATGTGGAATTTCTTAGATTTTTTTTAAAGTATGTCCTTGCAATGGGCTGAGTTTGCTCCACAGCCCATTGAAGATTGAGAAACCTGGCTTCAGAGGTATGAGAAATCAGGTCAGACTTTTGCTCCAAGATGTTGTCATCTCTATTGCATTGATCCGCACCCGAAATCTCTTTTCATCAATGCAGAAATGGTAGCTTTAACTGTCAATTGTTTCTAGAGAACGAAAGATGTTATGAAAAAGCGGGATGGAATTGGATTGAGACCAATCAAAAAGCAATGGGCTAATGCTGAAAATTCTTATGTTCTTATCTGAACAGTTATGAAACTTGACAGCATTCAACAAGGTAAAAACAATCACAAGCTGCAAAACATCAGAAAACTTGTGGAGCGAAATAGAATAGATACGCGATTGCTTGAAGCTTTCTTTCATGAAAATACCAAAAAAGTGCAAGCAGGTGATATTCCTTTTAACTGGTCGGAATCAGAGGTAAAGGTATTTCATTACAATAAACCTACTGTTAAGTTATACTGGGCTTACTTGTTTTCAAAGCTCTATGGCATTCAATGAATATTTATCTAACCAGCCAATATAATGCTTGATCATTTACTTTTTACTTAAATTTAATTTAATGCAATACACAAGAAGTTTTTGCATCAGCTATGCTGGTGAATTCTCATCCTCTACATCTCCATTTCCTTTTGCGAAGAAACCATCAATCTAATTTTTAAAAATCTTTTTGTTTTGAAGATGTCAAAAGAAGTAAAGATATAAAGAGAAATAATTTTCATTTAGCGTCTGATCTGTATGAAAATATGACCGGTTCAGCTCACTAATCATAAAACAGAGCTGCCATCTTCTTTCATTTTATTGAGTGGACTACCACAGTGGTGGAAAAAGATAGGCTATCCATTTTCAAATTCCATCAGTTGATTTTAAGACTTGGGACTTTGATGGACTGACATGATTTCAAAACAGCAAAAGCACTGATTTAAAAGCGGCCATAGTAATTACCTGATCATAGGTTGAGCTAATCTTCATGACACCATCAGTAAACAAGACCTGAATGTAACATTTGTATCAGCAGAGACTGAAACCAATATCTGCTGTTTTGAATTATACCTGTATGAAAGGTAATGGGTTGAATCCTCCCATATTTTGGCTAGTGTCTCTTTCTGGAAGATACTTAGAAGGTTTCTCCCTATGGGCCAAGACGACTATTTCCAAGCTATCTACTACTGGCCACCTCATTAATTATTCAACCAGATTCCACAGTGATCTACCTCATTGAATCATGTGGTCACAGAGGCTGAAGCATTGGAGGACCATAGTTAGATCCCAGTTGTACACCACTCCAAACACTGCAAGCCAGTGACGACCATCCCAAGTTTGTTGTTACATCACATTTCAAAAAGAGATTGCCAAGAAAGAGAAGTTGACTCCCTGTCACATTGACAGTGACCTGGAGGTCCTGGTGGACAGGCTGGTAGCAAGAAGGGCCATTCTGTTCCCAGAGAAGCACCACTGGAGACCATGGTACCAAACCTTGCCAGCCTAGTCAGAAATAGGCCTCTGGATCAGTGCCATTTTCTCTGGAGGAATACACAACAGTGCTGCAAGAAGATCAGTGACCTTCAGCATTCTGCAAGGACAAGTGCCACCATCCTCTGTCTGCTACCTCACACTCACACTAACTTGACCATTGCACATACGTCCCACCAAGTTTAATGGACTACGACCCTCAGTGTTGCATTCAGCATCTTCACTAGATAGTTTCTATTCTCCTCATCCTGCCAAACTACTAAGCCTTCATTCCTTCTGCAAAAAAGGAGTTGGGAACTATGTAGGGGCAGGAAAGTTCTTCGGGTGGGAAACCTGGAAGTAAGGTTTCCCACATGTTCTCCAATAATTACAGGATACATTTTACATTTTTGTGACAGGTTTCCTTCTTTTCATTCACGGATCATAAAGGGTTAGTTCTAGGACATTTAGAAAAGCATTTCGCAATCATGCAGTATCAACATGGTTTATGAGAGACACCACCTTGTCTCCTACCAGGATCTGAAACCCTTGCTGTGCTCTGAACCTGACACCCTCTTTTCCTGCTCTTTTTCTTTCCCCATTTCAGAGCTGTTCCGTCTTACACTGCTCTCTCCTTCCCCATTCTGATGATTTCCTTTATGCATTCATGGGAAGTGCATCACTAAAAAGGCCAGTATTTATTGCCCATCCCTAACTGCCCTAGAGAAGGTGGTGCTGAGCTGCTCTCTTGAACTGCTGCAGTCCTTGTGATAAATCAGTAGACCCACAATGCTGTTCAGGAGAAAGTTCCAGGATCTTGACCCAGCAACTGTGTTGGAAGGACTATATATTTCCAAGTCAGAATGTTGTGCAGCTTGAAGGGGAACTTGCAGGTGGTGGTGTTCACATGCATCTACTGCCCTTGTCCTTCTAGATGGTGGTAGTTGTAGGATTGGAAGGTGCTGTCTAAGGAGCCTTGATGAATTTCCGCTGTGCATCTTGTAGACTGCACACACTGCTGCTACTGAGCATCAGTGGTGAACAGAGTGAGTGTTAGTGGATGTGGTGCAAATCAATCAGGCTGCTTTGTCCTGGATGGTGTCAAGCTTCTTGAGTGTTGCCGGAACTGCACCCATCCAGGCAAGTGGGGAATATTCCATCACACTCCTGATTTGTGCCTTGTTGATAATAGACAGACTTTGGGGAGTCAGAAAGTGAATTGCCTGCTTCATTATTCCTAACCTCTGACCTGCTCTTGTAGGCACATTATTTATATGGCAAGTCCATTTCAGTTTCTGGTCAGTGGTAACCACCAGGATCTTGTTAGTGGGAGATTCAGCAATGCTAATGCCATTGAATGTCATAGAGCAATAGTTAGATTCTCTGTTATTGGAGATGGTAATTGTCTGGAATTTGTGTGGCACAAATGTCACTTACTAGTTGTCAGTCCGCACCTAGATATTGCCCAGACCTGTTGCATCTGTAACTGAGGAGTCATGAATGGTGCCAAACATTGTACAATCATAAATAAACAGTGCCACCTCTGACCTTATCCTTAAGGGAACGTCAGCTAAAGATGGTTGGACCGAGGACACTAGCCTGAGGAACTCTTCCAGAAATGCCCTGGAGTTGAGATGACCGACCTTCAAAAATCACAACATGTTTCTTTGTGCCAGACATGACTCCAACCAGAGAAGAGATTTCCTCCTGATTCCCATTGACTCCAGTTCTGCTAGAGTTCCTTGATGCCAGACACTCTCAAACACAGCCTTAATGTCAAGGCAGTCACTCTCACCTCACTAAAGCGTCACATGCTTATTTAAGTGTATGTGAAATCGCAGGCACTGAAGGCAGAATGATGATGGATGGTTGAAAAGGGTTTGCATCATGATGCCTCTAAAACTGATAATGGCGTTGTCAAACTCATTAACCGAGATTTTCTACTGGCTGATGATGGTCATTATATCAGCATAAATGGAAGTTGCGGAAGTCCCATTATAGCAGGATCTGAAGGAATTGCCTGGTAACTTGAAGATCCCACTGGGCAATTCTTTTACACTTGGAAACATCTGAAAATATCAATTTAAATTGGAGAATTTAGATGGTTCCAATGAGGTTATGTAAATAGTCATCAGAAGAAGTTAGACTATTAAATAAATTGTTTAACTCCCGAGTAAGTATTCAACTGACCCCATGCTTATGTCACACACGTGTACCTGCAACTATACCTCCCTTAGACCACTTACACCCCCAGACCCTGACCTGACACCTCCTTGTCTCCCAGCAGTACCTGAAACCACTGCTCTGCTCTGGACCTGACACCCTCTTTTCTTTTCCCCACTCCAGAGCTGCTCTCTCTTCCCCTGCTCCCTACTTCCCCATTCTGAAATTGACACCCCCTTACCCTGGTCTGGAGCCACTCCCTCCAGCCACGCTCAGCACCTGCTTCGTCTTTCTCATATTCTGGATCCATTCCCCCATTTCTTCATTACCCACCACCAGATCCAAACCCATCCAACAGAGGTGTTTTTGTGTTCATTAAGCTGAGCATTATTGGTGATGGGGACCAATGTAAGTATCAAACATTTACAGATCCAGTCCAGAAGAATTAAGTGCTCAGTAAAGCTCTCTTTATTGCCCTAGCCACATTCCTTACTCCATCAATATATCTCTTTCATTTTCTGTCATATTAGCCTTGATGTTTGTCTGAGTGAGAAATAGGAACTTTAATATTCCTAGTTATATCATTTTTGGGAGAGGTAAGATGGATAAAAAGCGTGGCAGGTCTGTGCTGTTGATCAAGCTTCCATCATAGTGCTGAAATACAGGAATATTGTAAGGATTGTTTTATGTCAAAATATATATGGAAGAGAACTGGTACAATTTTTAAAATATGGAATGCAGATCATTAACAGTGGAAATAGAACAGGTCTACATATATCCATCCAACTACAGATACATTGAAATATAAAGGGATTTCAACCTAACTTTCCAGGTGGGAAACCCTTGGGATTAAATGGGATATTGAATTACACCCCACTCAATGAGCTAATGTTTACCTAACCCACCAACTGGGAAACAAATGGAATGATGATGTGATGGTTTTACACCATTCCCAAAATTACTCACTAATTGAAGTTGATAGATAATGTTGATGGGGAGTGGAAGGAGTCAATATTCCACCTAATCCAATGAGTTTCTCATCCAGTGATTTAGGTTGACATTAGGGACATTGAAGGAATATTTTTAAATGTAACAAAATTGACAAGGCAATAGATAATGCTTGTCTTCAAAATAACATGGGTTTTTAGGATATGTTCAGGAGTACTTGCCAACAAGTTCCTGCCCCACATTTTCAGAAAGATCTCAAAGCCTTTGAGAGCATGCAGAAGAGGATTACTAGAAAGATAACAGCAATGTTAGTAAGTTATGTGGAGGATTTGTGCAACTCTCATTAGGGTCAAGAAGGTCAAGAGGAGATTTAAACAAAGATATTTAAAGTTATGACAGTTTGTTGGAGAAAATGAGGAGAAACAGTTCCCATTGGTACAAGTGTCAGTGATCAGAGAATAGCATTTAAGATATTTGCCAAAGGAACCAGAGATTAGATGAGTTTTTTTATTAAATGCTGGAAGTGGTTATAATCTGAGATCCACTGTCTAAGAGATTAGTAGATGCAGTTTTAACAGCGACTTGAGAAAGAAATTGAAATTACACTTGAATAAGAAGAAATTGCAGGCCCACAGGTCAAAAGCAAGTGAGTACGCTAACTGGATAGAACTTAGAAAAAGCAGCATAGATAGGCTGAATGAGCTTCCCATGCAGTGTGATTCGATAATTGTGTGACCTGTAAAGCCTAAAGGGCCTATGGTATCAGTGAACACATAATACAATTTAAATAGTATAGGATATTACTAGCTCTTAATCAGTGAAATAATAGTTAAAAAGAAGAGGAGGTCACTCAGGGCTGAAAATAAAACTGAACTGTAAAAGATGAAGGTGTGCCCAGCAAATTAAATGAATAATTTAAGATGATTATTTTTAAATGATTTATTTTGGAAGTGGGAATGCACACAAGGGTGGTATAACACAATAATGTGGCATAAATTTAAAACTAGAATTGTTTACTTTAAAACAAAAACAACTTAAGGTACATAGTGCCTATCTTCTGGTGCCCTGCATCCCAGACTGAAAGATTTCAGACAAAATGACAGATGCTTGTGTCACAATTTTTCACTCTTATATAAATGCACATAATGTGCCTTGGTACTGCTAGGTAGCCATTGTTTAAGAAGGGTAAGAAGAATAATGCTGGTAACCATAAACCACCCAGAAGCACAAATAAGTATAACTTATGTATGGTGTACACTGGTCCAACACATCTTGTATACCTCAAGATAGAGTACCAGTAACACCGGTATGTTCATTTCCAAGTATTGCATTTTTTTATTTAGCCGTGTTACTTGTGGACAAACTCTTGGCGGTAGATTTTAACTTTCAACTATTAGATCAAAATTTGCCAGTCGTAGATCGGTCAATTTTCCTTCCTACTCACTTTCCTGAATTTCTCCGGTTTCTTCAGCTTTCCATTTAGTACATAATCTACAGGCTTTTAAAATCATTACTGGTTTCAACCAATCGGGAATTCCTGGTTTATGGTCATTAATTTTCTGAGTCTTTCTAGCCTCGATAATACCCTATATTGTGGGCCTTGTGAGATTTGGTACTTTGCATAGATTTCTCAAATTTACAAAATGGTGCAAGAGCCTAAAGGAGATTTTTGTTTTAAAACAAGGACTTTCTGCATATGTTATTGTATATTATTCAGTCTCTGCCCAGTTTATTGTTAAACCTTACACTGCAATCAGAAGAAGTAATTTATTTTTTGTTCCCTAACAGTTTTCTACACCTGTAAAAAATGCAAGTATTCCAAGCTCTAACTTGGGTCAAGTTCTGCTGAAGCTTTGGTACTCCATGAAAAACAAAGTTAAAAGCAAAATTCATTATGTAAGATCATTGCTAGCTGATACAAATGAACAGGTAAGTTTCGATCCATTCTTTAACTGTTCTCTTGTCCCATAAAATTATAGTGCAGAACAGCCAGCAGACTGCCAAATATTTCAGACATTCATAGTGAAATCTTGCACACCTCCTCTTCCTCATTCTTTCTACTTAAGCTAGATTGAAATGATATATGATTGTTTGTTTACATGACTGATTTTATAGAAAAGCTACTGCTGATCAATCTAATCCTTCAAATATGCTTAAGAAGGCTATTGCAAACAAGGTAGCATCATTGTAACATGTTCCATGACTTGACAGTAAGGGTACTTACACCCATCCTAGTAGAATGTGATCTGCATCATATTACATAGATTATACACTATTTAAGTTAGCTCAAGGGATAAGATGCAAGGTTTCATAAATATGCATAGAGGCAAACACGGAGATACTTAGTTTCCCAACTTTTTTTTAATTGATTGCTCATTTTAAACTGGATGTTTGATCAATTCCGACATAAAAAGAAACCTTTTTTAATGTAATTTGATAATGTATACAAAGCAATGATTATGAGAAAAGAGGTGAAGACTTAAACAAAGGGATGAAGCAACCTGGATTAGGAACAGAAGAGCAGGAATAGAACATTTCGCCCCTTAAGCTTGCTCTGTCATTCTAAATCTTTGCTGATTGTCTACCTCAGTCCCAAATTCCCATGCTATCCCCAAATCCTTTAATGTCATTAGTAACTGGAAATCTATCATTCTCCATCTTAAACTTACTTAATGACGGAGCTTCCATCACCATCCAAAGATTGAGAAGAAGTTCATTTTCACGCCACATCTAAATAGCTTGCCTTTTATTCTGAGACTGTGTCACCTAATTCTAGACCCTGTTGCCTGAGGAAACATTCCTTCTGCATCTACTCTGTCTATCTCTTTAAAAATGTGTAAGTTCCTAAGCTGTCACCTCTCACTCTTGTAAACTCCAGAGATTATGGGGCCGGTCTCTTCATCAGGCAATCCATGCATGTCAGGAATCAGCCTGACAAACCATTGCTGCACTCCCTCTATGGCAAGCGCATCCTTCCTTAGGCAAGGGGACCAAACTACACACAATATTCCAGGTGTAGTCTCTCCATTGTTCCATATAATTGAATCAAGACATCATTCCTGTTGCTGAATACTGTTATACTAAAAGATCTTGCTACTTGCAAAATAGTGATAAAAGTCTGTAGCACAGAAACAGGCCCTTCAGATCATCAAGTCTGTCTGGGTCAAAAACTAGTATCTAACTATTCCGTCGCATTTTTCAGCACTTGGCCTTTAGCCTTGTATGCCTCAGCATTGAAAGTGCACATATAAGTACTATTTAACTGTATTGAGGGTTTCTGCATCTACTACTCTTACAGGCAGTGAATTCCAGATTTCTAACACCCTCTGGGTGAAAAGCATTTTCCTCACATCCCCTCTAAAACTCCTATCCTTTACCTTAAATCTATGTCACCTGGTCATTGTTCCCTGCATCAACGGAGAAAGTTCCTTCCTATCTATCCTGTCTATGCTCTTAATAATTTTATTTATCTCAATCATGTCCCTCCTCAGTCTCCTCTACTACAAGAAAGCCAACCCCAGTTTATTCAATCTCGCTCCATAATTAAAACTCTCCACCCAGGCAGCATCTTAGTAAATTTCCTCTGCACCCTATCCATTAAAATCAAATCCCTCCTATAATGTGGATACCATAATTGCACACATCACTGTAACTGTGGCTAACTAACGTTTATACAGTTCCAGCATAACCTCTCTGTTTTTGAACTGTATGCCTTGGCTAATAAAAGCAAATATCCTATATGCCTTCTGAAGCACTTTACCTACCTGTCCTGATAACTTCAGGCACCAGAGGACATGCACACTAAGGTCCCTCTTATCCTCGGTGCTTCCCACAGTCTTATCATTCATCATGTATTCCCTTGCCTTGTTTGTCCTGCCCAAGTGCATCACCTCACACTTACCCAGATTGAATTCCATTTGACACTGATCAGCCCATCTGACCAGACTGTCTGTATCCTCCTGTAATCTAAGGCTATCCTTCTCACTATTTATCACCCCACCAATTTTCATGTTATCCACGAACTTACTGATCAACCTTCCTCTCAATCATTTACATGTATCAACAGCAAGGGCCCTGACATTGATCCCTGCAGAAACCCAATAGACACAGATTTACAGTCACAAAACCACCCCTTGACCCCCATTTCCTGCCATTCAGTCAATTCTGGATCTAATTAGCCAAATTTCTTGCAACCCATAGGCTAAGAACAAAGAACAGTACAGCACAGGAACAGGCCTTTCAGCCCTCCAAGCCTGTGCCAACACATTTTGCCCTCCTGTACTAAAATTGTCTTCACTTAGAGGATCAGTATCCTTCTAATCCCTTCCTTTTCATATATTCGTTCAGGTGTTTCTTGAATACTGCTATTGTGTCTGTTCTTACCTTCGTCACCAGTCTCCCATGTGGGACATTATCAAAAGACAAGTTGTCTAAACAAACTGTGTAAAATACATTGCCCTCATCTATATATGCCTGGTCATCTCTTTAAAAATGCCAATCAAGTTGATCAGACATGACCACACCTTAACAAAACCATGCTGAATGTTCTTGATTAATCCCTGCCTCTCCAAGTGCGGCTTAATTCTGTCCCTCAGTATTGCTTCCAATAGTTTCCCACTACCTCTGAGGTCGTTCTGATTGGCCTGTAGTTTCCTTGTTTATCTCATGTTCTATTCTTGAATAATGGTCCCATATTTGCTGTCCTCTTGTCCTCTGGCACCTCCCTTGTGTCCAGGGAGGCATTGAAAATTATGGCCAATGCCCCTGCTGTTTCCTCCCTTGCCTCACTCAACAGCTTGGAATTAATTTCATCCAGCCCCCAAGAGAAGTAAAACCCTATATTCAGTATCGCAATTTACTGACGATTTATTTCATTGAATTGTTATCTCTGGTTTATGATATATTATTTTAGGTTTTGTACCAATTTGCTCCTTTCCTGCAGTTGATGACCTCTCCCCAATATTTCACCTAAGTGTCTGTTATTTAAGTGTAAGTATTGACAGTGACTCCTGGAAAACTACCAACAGCCACTTCGGCTCACTTTTAGCAGGGATCACTGAAGAACAGTTAGGAGCCAAGGCCTGTTTTCCCTTCCCAAGTCTGAGGCATCTATTTCAATATAATTATCTTTTTTCCATGTAGACTGTCTTCAGGTAATACAGTTAGCAGAAAGGATATTATTAAAATTTTAATAGAGTTTTCTGTTCCTGAATTTCAAACATTAGTTTGGTTTTGTTTTAGATTTTTCAGCATTTTTTCTATCTTCTTTTATATATCTGTGAAGGCATTTTTGTTTAATTTTTGGTCTGTTGCAGTTCCCATTTTTCCACTGCTCATATTTGTTTAATTCCACAAAAAGACACAACGAAGTCTAAGTAAACACCACAAAAAATAATTCGGTAGAACTTGATGCAAGAGTATGTGATAATGAGCAATGGAAGTTAGCTTGATAGAAGTGATCCTTTTCATTTGCACCACAGATTTTAAAATTGTGTTGAACTATAGTCCTTGAAAAGGAAGTAGATTTGAAACATGATTATTATACTTGAATAATGAGGCATTTTCCTGCCACAGGATGTTGATGAAGCTCAGAATGAATTTCAAAGAAGCAATGTACTATCTTCTCAATCTGCAGAAGAGTAGAATGGGGATCCAGCTTCTTCACTGATAGCTTCATTGAACAGTCGCAAATAATATCCAAAAAGTCAAAGATGATGGAAAATATGGAGAACACCTTTAAGAAAATAATTAAAAACAAGAACATTTTCAATGACACAGCTCCACCAAAAATAAGTAAAATGATATTTAACATACAAGGGGTAAATATTTGTCTCAGGTAGTAGCACTAAACACACGTTATTGTACCACTTGATATTCCATTCTATTGTAGCTAATGTACCTGAATGCTAGAAGGAAAGTATAACTGGAAAGGTGGGGTTTCAGGTCGGGGAGACAGTGGTTCAGGCCATAACATCTGTTTCATTGTACCTCTTGAAACAAATTTCTACCCCCAAAGTCTTTGTAAAATGAGATATGCAAAAAATGAAAACATTTCATCCACAAACCACAATATTGGTTAAAGATACTTTTATGAAACAAACAATCATAAATTTAGTTCCAATGTATGTTGGGGATGACTTGACTAATTATGCCTATGATTGAAGAATCAGTATTTCTTTCTCTCTTTCAAACATTCAGTGCTGTCTTTCTAGACAGGGTAAGAAGGTGAACAATTTTGGTAAGACTTCAGAATGGAAACTAATGTTATCTAACATTAAAACATATAACTTGCAAATTTTACTGGAATCCCTGTTTGTAGTTCTTGCAAGGCATCAGTGAAACACACAAGAGAAACTGCATAAATAAACATTTTTAGCAGATTATTCTGTCTCACCAAATATTCCAACTTCCCTTGCTGGTGAACCCCAGGTAATTTTAAGCACATGCATCCAAGGTGGTACTGATAGAATTCTGTCATCAGTTTTTTTTTAAATTATAGCGTGATTTGCATACTGGGGTTTTCAATTGGTACTTTATTTGAATTCTTCAATCTGGAAATATTGAAAGGGCTGATTTAAGCTTACAGTTCATTTTCATCCTGTACACATACATAGTCCAATTTATTTTCAAGTTGAATATTCTGTTTTCAGCAACAGATGTTTCTGGTGATAATATACTGTTACACCCCTGTGGAATGAAATGTGCTGTGTTTTCTGCTCTTGGCAATAGGAACAATTACCTCAGCTGACTACACCTAGTAAAAGTGATCTTTCCTCTAACTGTCACATACAGACAGAAGGCCCTATCTTAACTGAGCCTCTGGACAGGGCCATTCATTTCGTTCACATTTCTAGAGATGTTCATCTCACAGCTTTAAAGAGAAGGTAATGTGCCACCTTCAGCTTCACTGAAAAAATACAGGTAATAAATGTTGTCTATAAAGAGTCCTTGAGAAATAAATTAAAGAAGAAACTTGGATGAAATTCAATAAATTCATCTCGCCAAAATTTGAACAACAGTGCTGGATTTATCTTAGTACAAGAACGAGCTGGAAATACTTTCTCAGGAATGTCCAGCACTACCCACCTTAACCAGAAATTGAACAACACTGTTAACTGTTTAAAGCCTAATTGGAAAATTAATTGTTCAGTTTATAAATTTTCACTATCTTCTGTTCAGGGACTTCCCAAGATTTTGCGTTACTGCTGGCACAATTGGGTTTCAGTACTTCCTCAGAGATTTAACTGCCAGAACAATCTGAGTGAGCAGGATTTAGCATGGGTGGGAAACGGAGTGATATCGAGACTGATGTTGCATAGATAGGTGTCAGTCAATAATTGTGCCCACCTCTTGCAGCTACTGTGACATACTGCCTTAGGCAGAAGTGGAGTCCACAAAAGAAAGCACCATTTAACTCTCTAGTCGGTAAAGAAAATAGCACTTATAAAAAGTTTGTGGTTTGTGAATGAAATGTTAAGAATCATATCAAGAAGCGACATTAAAGTTTTGGCAAAAAAAAACTTTTTTTTCCTGTTTTAGTCTTTATTGTCACACAGACCTTAAATCTTCACTTTTAATGAGTACAGAAAATGGCAGCTACATGTATGCTGAATACAGAAGACTTCAAATAAATGTAAGTCCTAAAATATGAAACTAGATAATTTATAAAGACATCTTCAGTTATGATTCAGTATGCAGGTAGTGTCAAATTAAGGTTTCTTCATAATACAATAATCTATAATTTAACATTACTGGTGGAAAATTTAACTGTCTTGTTATTAATAATATGGAGAGCCAACTTCCACTCTGATTTATAGAATAATGCTGAAATTGCTTAGCAAAAGTTGGGAATCACATTAGTTACTTCCTCTAATTCATCATTAAGAAACATTTATGTGACTTTTTCTCATGAACATAATCCCCACTCATTTTTATTAATCATTTCACTGTAGAAGTCTTTAGATTGTTATGCCACAGTGATCTGATCTTCTCTTCAAGCATTTTGTTAGCCATGTATTTCAATTGCACACGGATGAAAAAAATCGAATAAATGTTTTAAGGCGATATCACAGTGTATGTCATACAATCATCCAATTTTCCAAGCCTACTTAAATTATATATTTTGTTACTCTGCTGTGAGTGTCTCATGAGCAAAAGTAAACACTCTGATTTATAAATTCAGTTTGATAAAACTGATGCCATTCCCTTGTAGGACAGAGTTTATGGTCCCATTTCTCCATGCGGTGAACATTTGATCCACATCATCCCAATCAAGAATACCTCCAGGCAGCTACAAGGAACTTTCTTCATTGGATAGTCAAGAGAGAGTTAGCCCTGACCAATCTCACAAACCACCTACTAACCCATTTACAGCAGTAGCAAACGTCTTTTTTGTTGTCTAGAAGAGGACAATAAACATGCAACTAAAAGTAGATTAAAAAGATTAAAGGCATAGTGGAACATTGGCAGGTGATAATTTTATATACTTTCACAATGGTATTGCTGGATTGACTCCATGTTTATTACTGTTTACTTTTTGAGAATAAACTCATTATGTTTATATTAGCAAAATAAACATGGAAATAGGCTGAAGCTGGGATGTATGTACCTCTATAGGCTCAAATGAGTTTTACTGAACCTGTCAAAATTTATCCACTACATCTAGTTGACTATAAAGGAGTTACAGATAGAAGTCGTGCTAGAATATAGAACATACAACATAGAACAGTACAGGCCCTTCGGCCCACGATGTTGTGCCGAACTTTTACCCTAAACCTAAGGTCTATCTAACCTCCACCCCTATCTTATACTATCATCCATATGCCTATCTAATAGCCACTTAAATGCCCCTAATGAGAGCGACTCCACTACCCGCTCCGGCAATGCATTCCACGCCCCGACCACTCTCTGAGTAAAGAACCTACCTCTGACGTCTCCCCTATATCTACCTCCACTCACTTTAAAAATATGCCCCCTCGTAATAGCTACCTCCACACTAGGAAAAAGTCTATCTATACCTATCTATACTCTATCTATACCTCTGATCATTTTGTACACCTCTATCAAGTCACCTCTCATCCTTCGTCGTTCTAAAGAGAAAAGCCCTAGCTCTCTCAACTTTTCCTTGTAAGACCTTCCTTCCATTCCAGGCAACATCCTGGTAAATCTCCTCTGCACCTTTTCCAACGCTTCCACATCTTTCCTGTAATGAGGCGACCAGAACTGGACACAATACTCCAGATGTGGCCGAACCAGGCTTTTGTATAGCTGGAGCATAACTTCACGGCTCTTGAACTCAATCCCTCTATTAATGAAAGCTAACACACCATATGCCTTCTTAACAACTCTATCCATGGGGTTGACAGCTTTCAGGGAACTGTGAACATGAACCCCAAGATCCCTCTGCTCCTCCACACTGCCAAGAATCTTTCTGTTAACCCTATATTCTGCTTTCAAGATTTTCCTTCCAAAATGAATCACCTCACACTTTTCAGGGTTAAACTCCATCTGCCACTTCTCAGCCCAGCTCTGCATCCTATCAATGTCCCTTTGTAACCTAGAACAGCCCTCCTCACTGTCCACAACGCGACCCACCTTCGTATCGTCCGCGAACTTACTAATCCACCCTTCCACTCCTTCATCAAAATCATTTACAAAAATCACAAATAGAAGAGGACCCAGAACAGATCCTTGTGGTACACCACTTGTAACTGAGCACCATGTTGAATATTTTCCATCCACTACCACCCTTTGTCTTCTAAGGGTCAGCCAATTCTGAATCCAATCTGCCACATTTGCCCCTATCCCTTGCTTCCTTACCTTCTGCATGAGCCTACCATGGGGAACCTTATCAAACACCTTACTTGAATCCATGTATACCACATCCACTACTCTACCTTCATCCACGTGTTTGGTCACCTCTTCAAAGAATTAATGTGTTGGGGAAGGTTACCTTTGGGTGGTGGTGTAAATTGGTGACATCAACTCAACCACCTATTATAAATTTGTCTCATTTGACATTCATGGAAATGAGGTAATGAAAATCTGGAGAAATGTGTAATGGGATATCTCAATTGCTACCACTCCTTTGACACCATCAGTTGATATCAAAATTAATCCCCAGTGATTCTGTTTTTCCCTTATTTGTTACACAGCAACATTTGAAAATTCTTCACTTGCAGAAAGTTATTAATGCCTGGAACGATCTTCAGACATTCAAAATCAAAATCATTAGAGAAATCCAACAGAAATGGTTAGGTACTGTAATGGGGGGCAGCAGGCTTCTGTGGACTGCTCAGTGGATGAGCTGCATATTTATTGTTATAATTTGTATATCTTAGACATCCTTGGTAATGAGCATAACTGAATAGTCCCCCATTCTGTAACGTATTTTCTGGTGCCATAAAGATATTTGGAAGCCATGTGATCTGTAAGTTATACCACATCTTTCGTGTCTTCTGTAATTTCCTTTCTTTTCTAATAAAGGAAAAAGGGAAAGCTCAAACCATGAGTTTTCTTCTGTGGTGAGATGTGAGCAAAACAGATCAGTGGGAAATACGAAGTGAGCAAAAAAATCAGTTTCTCAACATTGAGGGAAACATTTGTGATTTTCCCTTCCAACCTTAATAGTGAAATTCTGAAGTCACCATTTAAGTGAAGACTACCATATTTCCATTGTTTTCTCTGCCCCCAAGAAACTGGATGGAACAGATTATTGACATGTAAATCAGAATGAGTACCTGGTGGCTACAGTTAGCTGAATGCTTGTCCTGGCCAGCATCCAACTTTTTTGTTTCAACAACGTCTCTGCATATTCTAAGGCCACCATCCCTGAATGGTTGAAGATTTCATTGCCAAACTGCTGATGACATATTGATTGTTGGGAAAGTAAGTTTTGAAGAGGACATAAGGATGATACACAAAGATGTCGATAGGTTCAGTGAGTGGGCAAAGATCTGACAAATGTTATATAACGTGCAAAGTGAGAAATCGTCCATGAGGCAAAAAGAATTTTAAAAAGAATCTTATGTAAGTGGTGAGAAATTACAGAGCTCTGAGATGCAAAGGGATCTGGGTACACTTCTGGGTGATCCACAAAAGATTTCTTTAAAAAGTTGCAGAACATTAGTATGCTGGTACAGCAAGGATCAGGAAAGATAATGGAATGTTATCATTTTTGTGAGAGGAATTGAATCCAAATGTAGGGAGGTTGTGGTTCACTTGCACAGAGCTTTGCTGAGACTGCATGTAGTTAATTGTGCAGAGTATTTGTTACCCTATTTAAGAAGGATATAAATGTGTAGTCAGTAATTCAGGTAAATATTAACAGACTAATACCTGAAACGTGGGTTGTTTCATGAGGAAAGGTTGAACAGGCTCGGCTTATATCCACTGGAGTTGAGAAGAGTAAGACGTGACTAAATTGTATCATATATACTGTCTTGAGGCATCTTGACGGGCTAGATGTGGAGAATCTGTTTCCTCTTATAGGACAATCAAGAATTAGGCATCATTATTTAAAAGTAGGAAACTGCCTATTTAAAACAGAGATAAGACATTTCTTTGTCTCTGAGGTTTGTGAGTATTTAGAATCTCTTATTGGAAAGGTGGTAGAAGCAGGGTCATGGAATATTTTTAAGTTAAATTGATTGTGACCATTAAAGCCAAGTGCTGGAGATCTATTCAAATATCCTCAGAGCTGCCCTGACTCTTACATATTGGAGTATTTGCAGATCCCTGCATGCTTCCAAGTTGCTCAGGCTATACAGAGGTGGCTGTTGAGCAACAAGGGGTATCTCCTCTCAATGTGGCTCATGTCAGCTTCATGAAACCTTCAGACTGACACAGAATGATGGTACAACATGCTTCGACTCGGGTCACAGTGGCACAGACGATAGGCCTCCTTAAGGCTTGGACTGCTCCAGCAGAACCTTGCAATGCAACCCAGAAAGGGTGTCCCACATCATTGTGGTGTATTGTGGCCTTCAAAACTGGAGTGGACAAAGGGGAATGCCGTGGATGCAGACAAAATGGGGGATCAGCAACAGTGTCCTGTGGATGCGGATGAAGATCCCAAGACATTGACCAGGAGGGCAATCAAAGAGAGCGTGACAGAAGAATGCATCATTGAATACGAGAAGCCAGAGGGAACCTGACAGAAACCCACTTCTAGGCTAAATCAGCTGGGTTTGGACTTTGTTTAATATTTTAACGTTCTTTTGGTAATCTGGCAAGCGATGCCTGCCTGATGCAAAGGAAATGTGGACTTTGTTATTTTTACAGTCTTTGTGTTACTGAATAAATGTCTCATCATCTTTGTGATTATATGCTTCAATCCTTTGGTTGGTCCCACTTTCAAGAACCTCAGTACTAATGTGTCCTACAGACTATTAGGAAAAAGCAGCAGTGAGTGAAACTTGATATGAATGGTGCTAGGATTAGGCAGCTCTTAAGGCTTCTGTCAGGATATCTTATCTGAGTATTATGCAGTGAAGCCTCTCATGAGTGCCAGCAGATTGAAAGTAATCCCAAGGAATCTCCTTTTGACTCTATTATTATTGATGACCCTTCAAAGTCTCAGCATGCCCTGAAGTGTTTCAGCATCCTCTAGGATGGTGTTGGACCTGCAACAGGCAACAATTTGTGTAGCATTTCTTAGCAGGTCGATGCGATCTGAGAGAGTGTGGACATGCAGGTATATATCCCAACCTTGAACGGCAATGTGCTGCCTTAAAATGCTGGTATTTAGAATAAACATTTCTCTGCAGAGGTGTGTGGGATCATTCCTGATTCTGTACTCTCACTCATATGGTGTGTGTGGATGTGAAATTATATGTACAGGCCAGGTTCGAGCAAAATTCCTGCGCATTACTTGGCCTGTGTTTTGCAGATTAAAGTGCAAAGCCCTGGCTGCAGTCTTCAATGTTACAGTTCC